TCGTCCGTGGCATGCCACGCTTGTCTTTTCTTCGCGTTCTCCTTGCAACCGACGGCCAGGTCGAAGTCGGGCGTCGCTACGAGGTCGTCCTGCGCGAAGTCAGCCGGAACATTCGCGATCGATCTATCGTCCATGTAGGCGATGCCGTTGACTGGTTGCCACGGGGCCAGCACCGCACGCAGCGTGGCAGGCGCAAGAGCATCGCCCGGAGGGAGGCCTCGCGTAGGCCACGCCGGTGGGACAAGCTGACCAGCCACGCTGAGGTGCCGAGGGCCTTGCCAGGCCGCGCGGGCGGTGAAAACCACGGCGAGAGGTATTTTGCAATGGTGAAGTAGAGCTCTTCTGCAATCTGGTGGCTGGCGTGATCAAATGCACGAGATAGATCCAGCTCTGTTCCTGCTTCAGAATTAATGGCATCAGGAAACCACTTTGAAATTGCATGCGGGGTCGAAGCCCCCTTCTTGCAAGCGCAGTGGTTCCCCGCCGGACCTGGAACTGACTTGGGCAAAGCGGCCAGCCAACATCTCATGACGAGAGAGCCCACTGAGATAGGACGAAGGTCATCTTTTCCTTTGGGCATGCCAGCAACTCTCCACGCAAATACCTTCGCCAGAAAGCTGCTCGAGAGATGGCCCTGCTGCGCAACGCATGCACGAAAGGTCTCCACCCGCAGCTCATGCAGCTCGGTAGTGATATCTGGATAGAGGCGCTTCAAAATCTTGATCTCCAGCCATCCATGCCTGGGGTCCCCTTCGCGCGGTCCAGCACGCGCAGGAAGTCTTCCAAGCTTGGTAGCCAGTCTGCAGGGTGGTCTGAGGCAGGAAGCACCACACTACGAGCATGCCCTTTCCACGCCTCAAGTCGTGTTCGGAGTTGGCCAGGCGTGTCCTGCGGGCCCCGCTGCTGTTTCCAGTCGTCGCGCATTCGGACGCGCTTCGCGCGTCGCGCCGAAATCGGGCAGGCCAGAAGAGCGACGCGGCAAAAGTTCCCGACAGCAAGCGTCGGCACGGCGGGTTCGTGTCGCGACGACCCGGGCGTTGGATTCTGACACCGCGTGGATCGCGCAACCTTGAGCGATCGGCGGTTCTCCGATCGCCCGATTGTTCCATAGAGGCCGATTCCTGGCCAATTGTGGCGTTCAACCTTGAACGCCCGCGGCGGGGTCGCCGCCAGTCGACGCGACGCGAACCTGCCGCGCCTCTGTCTCGCAGGGCCGATCGTCTCACGAGCGACCCTTCCTTCCTTCCGAGCGCCACTGTGGACGGGTCTCCAAGGGCGAGCAAGTGGCGCGTAGGCCACGGTAGCAACGGCGTCCGCTGTGGTCACTGCCCCCCCTTTCAAGCGGAAAACGAAGGGGGCGGCCGCGCGGGCCCCTCGCGCGCCCCGACCGCAGAATACCTACGCGCAGACACGCAGTGGCCCACAGAGAGCGGGGTGCCCGCAGACTCCTTAACGACCTTCCCAAAAAGCAAAAGAAAATCAAACCTGGAACTGAACGAACTGCGGCCTCAGACATCGGACCGGCCAGCCACTCAGACAAGGAGGGGGAGGAGGAGGAGAAGGAGGAGGAGGAGGCAGCAGCAGCGCCGTTACGACAAAATCTGGCACTTCTGGCACCGCCAGCGCCGCTGCGACAAAAACTGACATTTCCCGCGCCGCCAGCGCCGTTACGACAAAAAGTTTGGGCTTGGACTGGCACCGGCAACGCCGTCACGACGAGGCCTCAGAAGCCTACTCGAAGATCTCCTTGAGCTTATCGATCTTCGCCTGCAACTCTCGAGCCACTGACCCGCTCGCCTCCTGCCCCTGCTTCTCCTTGCCGCCGATGGAGACCGGGCAAGCGACCGCGGAGCGAAGAACAGGCTTGAGCTCAGGCGAGACGACCATGTGCAGCTCCACAAAGAGTTTGTCGAAGGCCTTGCGGAACTTGCACAAGTAGATCTGGCCAATCAACTGGTCCGGTTTGTCGATGGCACCGTGGCGCGCACGAACGGTGGCCAACGCCTCCTTCGCGGCTTGGCACTGCTCGTCGGTTGCGATGGCGTTGATGATCCGGCACCATAACGTAATCTGCTTGTGGCCTGCGTTCGACGTGTCCTCCGACTGCGCCCTGAGCTCCTTGACCCGCTCTTCGTAGCTGTTGATCTCGGTTTGCCCTGCTGCAATTGGGGCGAGAACCCTCTTGCATATCACGTTCGTAAGAAAATCGGCACGCAACTCCCGGACGTCGAGGTCAAGCTTGAGAGCCAACTGCGAAACAAAACTGAGGATCTGGCGCTGCAACTTCATGAAGTCCTTCTCCTCTACGTTGGCTGGGCCACTGCGCTGCGACTTCGCGCAGGGACCATCCTGCAATAACTTATCCATGAGAAGGAAAATCGGTGAAATGTGTCTGCACGTGCGTGTTGTATGCTTCCAAGCTGGCGCACTCTCGGCTACAAATTTTGCAACGAAGACAAGAAGGATCAGGATCGATGACGATATGGTGGCATGCACTCCCCTCTCCCTCGCAACGCCCACGTGCGAGTGATGCAAGAACATGGTCACGTGCCGATCGTTTGTTCGAGTATGTAGTTTGGCACCACGGGCACTGGCTCGTGATAGCGGTGACTGTACCTGGATGTTTCTTTCGATGCCCTGGCTTCTTACTGCAAGCCTTATGTCTGGCCAAACCTGCAGCATCGTGAAACATCTCCACAAATCGTCCCATCAGGCATCCGTATGTCGCATATAAAAAAAACTTGGTCCACGAGATCGTCGGTAGGATCGGGAGGTGGTGGGGTAAGCACAGCAGGATCAAGATCCACATGTTGAACAACCGGCTGCACGAGATATTCCAAAGGCTCACATCTGAGAGCATCCGTGTGGGCATGGCGAAACTTGTCCACGTGTATTGTGAAAACGGAAAGTACTGCTCCCCCACCGCTTGGCGTAAGTCTGTCGCCGTTGAAGTCCGAAAGAGAGCTTGCAAGTCAGCCCGGAAAACATCCATCCACTCGTGGGGCGCATCACAAAACTCACCAGTAGGGGACACGAGAGGCTCGGAATTCCATGGAGCACGCCCGAACATAGTTACCAGCAGCTGCTCGTGGGCCTCCAAAGTCCAGACAGCACGCCGCCAGAACTGAAGCCGCCGAGTCTGCAGCTCAATGTGGCAAGGAGCACGCTGGATGTAGCGCCAAACCTCTCGAGCAGATAATGCAGCATACTTGTTCGTGCCATCTGCTTGTTCAACTCGTTCGCACGCCTTACCGCGCATAAGTTTACGAACCTTTGTCTGCAAGAACACATCCAGACGTCCATATTCTGTTTTGTGGAAGATGAAACACTCCAGGCCAGACAGAAAAAGGGCATGCACCATGCACAGAAATACAAAACGGATCGTCTCCTTCCTCTGGCACCGATACCCAAACTTCCCGATGGTGGCCCACCCAAGTTCAGCAGCGCGGATCCTTCGAGTGATCTCAGGTCCAGCACGGCCAGCATGATGCAGGTGAGGGCCGAGGTACCTGGCGTGTGGAAGAATACGTCCGGCAACAAGATCCTGGCACAGTGCCCGCCGAGTTCTTCCGCATGTTGCTACACCCGAATAAGGTCACAGGTCCTGGCGAGAACGACCCTGATATTTCGACCCCGCAGTTCGAGCGCATACTTCTGTTCTTGTTCTACAATGTACGTTTATATCAGCACGCACCTGCATCTTGGCATCATAATAGAGCATACCAACTACCGAAAGATAACGGCAAAATGGAATCCAAAGGGCTCATATTGGTTCACGCTTTGGACTCTTTGGGCAAGTTGTATTACGGGCACCTGTGGAGGCGCACGACACCCACCGCTGATCGTCCAGTGTTATGGTTACCTCAAATCCCGGAGCCGCGAGGCAACCATTCTACAACGTCAGGTGCTCACCAGTAGACTCCGTCAAGCCAAAAAGTCGTATGTTTCAGTTTCCACGACGCCACCAACGCATTCCCTAGCCCGCCTTTTTCTGTACTGAACTCCGCGATTGATCGCATTGCGAGGGAAGAGGACCGACTTCTTTTCCGCCAGCGGCATCGCAACTCAGCCACGACAGTACAAGCAGCAGATCGGGAGCTGTCATTGCGATTTGGCAGTGGGGCTCTTCAAGGTGATGTGTTTGCTGGCCCGCTGTTCTTAGAGGTGGATCACCCGGTCGTGGACGACTGGTGCGAGCGCACTCTCGATGAGCAATTTGTTTTTCGACATCCCATTGATGATCGGGACGTCGACGTATCTACAACCACATATGCAGACGATAATTCTAAAGCGCATGTGCTCACCGATGTTAACAGTGTTGGCGAGAAGCTCCTCAATTCCAACACGCACTTGGACAACGCATTGGGGCAGATACACATCCAACAGAACCACGACAAACAAGAGCGTATCACGAGCGATCCACGGTCTCGCGGCCGAGGAACGGCGCACCGCCAGAACATCGCTGGCCGCCTGCACCGCCTCGGCAGCGCCATGGATGAGGCCAAGGACTGGCCCTCCAGCAGCTATTTTTCTCTTTGGAACGACTTCTCCTGCCCACAGGGTCAGGGACGAGCCGAAGCTGCGCGCAATTTTCTTGCTGGAGAAGATTCCTTATGCATTGCCCACTCTGTATCAAGTCTCTGCGCGTAGCATCGATCCGCCAAACTGAAGGAGATCATGTGCAGACCCTGCATGACAAATGCACTCGGCTGACTCCGCTGGCTCTGGCCGGGAGGCACCAATCACGACGCCTGCAAACATGATCGAGGTATGTCGTCCACGTGGGTAATTTGTCACTGCTCCTCCATCAAACGACCACGATCAACTTCAACCTCTTGATGCCGACGTAAGGCTCAACTCAAGCCCCGATTCACATGAACGCCAACCTTTTCGATATGAGTGTGCTCGTCCGCGTGCGGAGTTGTGATCATCATCCTCTCCCTCGTCCTCCTGCTCCTCCTCCAAATCCTCGACCTACAAGATGCAGCGGGCGAGGCGGCATGAAGTGCACTCCCAATCTCGGCTTCTATCCTCCTGGCGAAGGGGGCAACGGACACTGCTCATGCTGCTCCCCCAATTCTAGCTACAGTCGGAAGGTCCTCGTTGCCGTGCTCGCGCGAGCGGCAAGCTACCGATGCGGAGAGACCCTCACATCGATAACTAACAAGTGCTGCGACTCGCACGACTGGCGGAACAAAACAAATCATAAGCACAAACTTTCGGAAGTCCGAACGGATTGCTCGGATCGGCGCTTTGCCCCCCGTCCGTGGCGCCCGAGGCGCCGTCAGGGCGACCCCCACGCCGACCCACGAATCCGGCGCGGAGTTCCGACAGTGTATGTTTACGCTTTTGTTTTTCTTCGAGCAACTGGCCTCAGTGCGCCACAAACACTCGGCGGGCATCTATAGGATAGAGGATCGAGGAGGGGGAGGAGGGGAGGAGCACAATAGGATAGATAAGTACGCTTTTGTTTTTCTTCGAGCAACTGGCCTCAGTGCGCCACAAACACTCGGCGGGCATCTATAGGATAGAGGATCGAGGAGGGGGAGGAGGGGAGGAGCACAATAGGATAGATAAGTACGCTTTTGTTTTTCTTCGAGCAACTGACCTCCTCCTCCTCCTCATGGCGGCCACAATCACAACAAACCTTGGAACCACCCAAAAAACAAACGACTCGGACTGCTGGGCTGGGCCATCCAGGGTCGTCTTCGGGGGCGATGCGTCCCGAACACCACCCCAGAGTGAGCCAACTCCCAAGCCTGCACCGCCTGCGCCAGCACAATAATCACCGCTCGGGAATGGAACCTGCTAGCCGACAGGGAGAGGAGGAAAGGAGAATTGAACCTGCTAGCCAGTAAGGCAAGGTTTATGTGTGTGCGTGCAGGGGAGGGAAGGAGGGGCAGGGACTGGAAGTGGGGATCAGCCGCAGGAGTCAGAACACGATGACGACGACAGCGAACAAAACGGAGACGGCGACGATGGTGACAAGGGGATGGGGACATGAAAGATGGAACGGCTGGGAGGGCGCGCGAGGACACCCCGAGGTGACCCGGAGCGTGGCGAAGCTGACCAAGCCAGCATCCCCACGTACGTACCTTGTTTCCTCCTGCGCCTGAGACTGGTGACCTGCCACGAAGTTGCTCTGTGAGCACTGAGCGTGTGAAAAAGCCCTGGTTCTTCACAATCCGAAGCAACGTCACACAAATGCTCGACACCGTAATTTGCCCAAGCCTAATGGGTTTGACGGGAGCGCCCCGTAGATGTGCGGAAATGTCAGGCGATATCCCGATGCTCAAACAGTGCCACCCCCAATGCTTACGCTCGGAAGGATATTTGCGCGTGTCCGAGGCGAGGCGTGATCATAAAAATGCTGCGCCCTCGGTCCGTGCGGCTACTGGCGATTTGAGTCTTGTGACCTGCGCCGTCCCGGGCGAGTCGGGACATTTTGAACGTTGCGCTCACACGCTGTAGGGAAGTCTCCAGCGAGAGCGTGGCTTTGAGGAATGCCCGCCCTCCACCCGAGAAGGTGCTCAAAACCTGATGGACGCACCTTGTGAGGAAGCCCCGAGCGAATCGCCCAGCCCGACACCGCCCGCCCGAGCGACACCCGACGCGCCTGACAATGCGACGAGCGCCATGAGGGGAGAAGGGATGCAGCAGCAGCGGCAGGAGGCAGATGATGAGAAGTAAAGTGACCAGGAGTGCCAGGATGGTGATGGTGATGACGGCGAATGTGTGCCCGGTGGACGTAAAACTTGAAGGCCAGCGAGCGGCGCTCCGCATCCTTCGAGCACCGTGCGCAGGCCAACTGCCTTGCACCGGCGCCTCCGCGTCCTCGACGACCTCGTCGCCGAGGCCAGCCCCTGCCCAGGGCCGCCTCGGCCCGCGGCTGCCGCCGCCGCCGCGGGGCCGCCCCTGCACCAGTCGCGCCCGGCACCGCGCCCGCCCTGGACCCCGCCCGAACCCGACGCTGCGCGCCCTCCTCCGCCGCAGTCAGGCGCATCGGGCGCCGCATTGTCAGACGCGACGCTCCTCAGGCGCGAGGCTCCTCGCCACGTCGGGCGTCAGGTCGCAGCGTCGGATCTCGGGTCGCCTTTATGAGGCGACCAGGAGGCCATGGTGAGGACATGCGAGAATCTATGAAAGCAAACTGTGAAAGCCAGAGCCCGCAGCAAAGGGCAGATGGAATGCGCAGGAGGCCACAGCGCAGGCCAGCGCGAACCACAACCCCAAGATTGCGAACCACAACCTCACGAATGGAGTTCTTTTTGCAATGTCCCAACTTTTTCGCCTCGCCCTGGCTGTGCGCCGAAAAGGCCCTCCAGTTGTCCGTGCGGGGGGCCCTCGCCCAGGGCCCCCTCGCCCCGCCCCCGCCGCCGCCGCGAGGCCTTCTTGCACAGCTGCTCACGGGCACCGCGCCCGCCCAGGACCCCGCCGGAGTCAGGCCTTGCCAAAGGGCGGAGAACAAGGGCGCCGGCGTCAGACCCTGATCGGCGGCGAGCGAGGGGGGGGAGTGAGAAGGAGAAGGCCTTTTCAGAAGGCTCGGAAGTCCCTCGGCCTTCTCAGAAGGTTTCCCAGCCTTCCCCGAAGACACAGAAGCCTTGTTCAGAAGGCGCGAGGGCTCCTGAGAAGCCCCGCCGCCTTCTGAGAAGGCCTTCTCCTTCTCACTTCCCCCCCTCGCTCGCCGCATCGCAGAATATCACGACGAGAGCCCGAGACCTCATATTTCTGCACCACTTTTCGAGCCCGATCTCCCCGTGAGGGTCCCAGGGCCCGACGCGAGGCAAAACCTCCCGCTCTGGACAAACTGCAACGCCAGGATCTGGGGGCAGGCGCCAGCGCCCTTCTGCCCCGCCCTCGCCAGGGCTCTGCCGCCGAGTGCCCCACGGCGCCGCCTCTGCCCCTCTTGGCGGCGCACACAAGAGGGTGGAGGGTGGAGGAGGGAGGGGGAGGGCTTCTTAGAAGGAGGCTGCTTCTTAGGAGGCGCCATATCGCTGCCGAATGAAGGCGGTGCGCCAGGCCCTGTCGCTGCCCCATCCGCCTCAGACGCCGCCCAGCGCCCAGCGGCGTGCGGCGGCAGGGCGCTGCCGGCGTCGGGCGCGCCGCTGGCGACCGGCCGCGCCCGAGGGGCAGCCACGCGCAGATCGGGGTGGGCTTCAGGGAGGCTGGCTCTGATGGGCCTGTTTTCCACCACCACCTCCACAAGTTGGAGGGGCGAGGGGGTCCTCCTCCCCCTCGTCTTCTTCCTCCCCCTCCATCTTGTGGTGGTGGTGGTGGTGGAAAACAGGCCAATCAGGCTAGAACTTCGGGAAAGGGGGTCGGGGCTCAAGAGACGGGGGTCACTGCTAACGAGTCAGAGCGCCAGATGTTGCAGGAACCTGCAGAGCCAGGGGTACACTCACCCGGGCTTGGGTACGGGGTCCTGCAGGATCTTGCAAGGCCAGGGGCTCACTAGCACTTTCCATGGACTCTGCGCTACGCCAGTCTTTCTAATTGAGATGGGTTTGATATTGCAGCCCACGCGGTTTCAACGATACTGGGTTCGCGGCGTCGGGCGCTTTTGTGTTGAGAACGTCGGGCGCGCCGCTGGCGACCGGCCACGCCCGAGAGGCAATCACGCGCAGATCAGGGTGGGTTTCGGGAAGGCCGGCTAGGGCTTCGGGAAAACGGGTTCGGGCGGGTGGTAATGTCGGCTACACGTAAGAGTGGTTGTTCGCCAGAGTGGCTTTGGATGCGGCCCAATGAGCCTCTCGATCGCTGAATGCGATGCGATAGCAGCGGCTTGCGCGCCTGGTGGTGTCTCCAACGGCCACCCCGTTGGGCCGCGCACCAAAGATCATTCTTGCCCAGGGTCACTCTTGCGTGTAGCCGATAATGGTGGGACCTGAATGGGGGGTGGAGAAAAGGCCCTAAGGGGCCCTGGAGGGCTCTTTTTAAAGCCAGCAGGAGCTCTAAAGGGCCCCGTTCAAGGCCTCAGGACCTTTTTCTTCACCCCCATGCAGGTCACCCCCCAGTACCACCCGCCCGAGAGGGCGTGGGCTGCGGCGGCGCATTCGGCGGGAGCGGTTTCGTCGGCGGCGGCCGGAGCTTCGGCGGCCGCCGCCAGTCGGGCGAATCGCGGCGGCTGGGGCGCCGCTCGCCCGCGCGAAGAGTCAGCTACGCGCAAAGGGGTGGGCGAAGGGAGAGGGCTTCTTAGAAGCACACCTGCTTCTATAGATGTAGGGCTGGCGCCTCCTAAGAAGCAGCCTCCTTCTAAGAAGCCCTCCCCCTCCCTCCTCCACCCTCCACCCTCTTGTGTGCGCCGCCAAGAGGGGCAGAGGCGGCGCCGTGGGGCACTCGGCGGCAGAGCCCTGGCGAGGGCGGGGCAGAAGGGCGCTGGCGCCTGCCCTCAGATCCTGGCGTTGCAGTTTGTCCAGAGCGGGAGGTTTTGCCTCGCGTCGGGCCCTGGGACCCTCACGGGGAGATCGGGCTCGAAAAGTGGTGCAGAAATATGAGGTCTCGGGCTCTCGTCGTGATATTCTGCGATGCGGCGAGCGAGGGGGGGAAGTGAGAAGGAGAAGGCCTTCTCAGAAGGCGGCGGGGCTTCTCAGGAGCCCTCGCGCCTTCTGAACAAGGCTTCTGTGTCTTCGGGGAAGGCTGGGAAACCTTCTGCGAAGGCCGAGGGACTTCCGAGCCTTCTGAAAAGGCCTTCTCCTTCTCACTCCCCCCCCTCGCTCGCCGCCGATCCATGGCATGAGGAGGGGTGCAAATTCGCATGGGCGCGAACTTCGTACCCCAGGTGGGCATGTGCCCCAGAAAGGTCACAAACAACAGGCACGCTGAGGGCATTGGAGAAGGAACCGTTGGGCAAGGGACCCAGGGTCTGGAACCTGGTAGAGCTCCAATCGTGGCGTGTCCATGGACATCACCACCGCCCTCATCAGATGAGGAATCTGCCAGGGTCTCAACCCCCAGGGCACATTCTTTAACTAACGCCCCCACAGTACAATTGGGGGCCCGACCACAAGAAACTTCCCACGAGAAACCCAACACTGAGGCCCCAGGACGTCCGTTGATTCTCGGTGTGAGAACGTCGCGATCCCCGCCGCAAAACCATCGAGTCCGAAGAAACCCACGGCACCCTGGAGGCACGCAGGGTGCTTCTTGGCACGGGTCTCCACCGCACTGCACCTCGCAGTCGACCGGGCGGGCCCCGCGCATCTCCAGGGACCCCTGCAGCTCCTCAAAGGCCATCGCTCGGACGTCCATTCCCTGTTTTTTTTTTTGGGTTGCGTGCGTGGTTTTTTTGCCAAATAATCGGGAGCGGCCAAGAGGGGGGTGTCCAAGAGGGGGGGGTGCAAATCATGACCGGCGGCATGTGCGCGGCCCAGCGGGGGGGCCAGGGACGTAATGAAATAAGAAGAGGTGCCATGAAATCTGGGGAAATATCATGGCCCCCGCCATGATATCCACCCCCCCCTAGAGATTGTTTTTTTATCCTCTGGGAGGTAACGCTCGTTACCCGGGCCTCTCCCCCCCCCCCCCCCCGTAACGGTAACGCTCGTACGCGGGGGGGGTCTCGGTCTTCCCCTCCAACATGCTGGTGCCCGAAGGCATGCGCACTGTGGTGTGGTGGTCGCAGGCGCACTGTGGGCGCTCGCAGGCCATTGCGGCGCTCGCATGCGCGATGCTGGTGCTTGCGGGCTTTGCGCTTGTACTCGAATCGTCGTCGTCGTCGTCGTCGTCGTCGTCGTCGTCGTCGTCGTCGTCGTCGTCGTCGACGGCGCCCGAAAACGGCCTCCGGAGGCCGAAACAGGCGGCAAACGTCGTCGTCGTCGTCGTCGACCTCGTCGCTCGTCGCTCGTCGATCATCGTCGTCGCGCGCGCGGGCGCGGGCGTGGTGCCGGGACCACGCGGCGGGCTTTGCGCTTGTACTCGAATCGCAAGCCACTGTGGTGCTCTCAGGCAGAGAGTGCTGCTCGCGCGCATACTATGGCGATCGCAGAGCGCCCCTGCTTCGCCATACCCCGCCCAGCCCAAGCGTTACCGTTACCCGGGGGGCACGACCCCCCCCCCCCCCCGGGTAACGAGCGTTACCGGCCGGAATAAAAAAATGATCTCCTAGTCATCACCCCCCTCTTTTCCGCCCCCGAAATGATCAAGGATGCTCCTCGATGGCCCTCGCCGAAAAAAAAGGCACACGTCCGAGCGATGCCAGGCCTCCCCCCCCGGGGAGGAGGGGGGAGAGGGCGCGGGCGCCGAGGGGAGCGGCCGCAGAGGGCCAAAAGGGCGCGGCCGCGGCCCGCCCCCGGGTGCCCGGCCACCGGGCGCCTCGAGAGGCGGGGGGAGCGCAGGAGGAGTCCTCCTCCTCCTCCTCCTCCTCCTCCTCCTCCTCCCTCAGTTCCTCATCCTCCTCCAGTTCCTCCTCCTCCTCCTCCTCCTCCTCCTCCTCCTCCTCCAGGAGCAGGCCATCTCGGTGGCAGGCGGCGACCGAGAGGCTGTCTGCGTCTTCGGGGGAGGCTTCGGGAGCCTCCTCGGAAGGCGTGGGGCTCCCGAGCCTCCTGGGGAAGGCCGCCCCTTCGCACTTCTCCCCACCTGCGCGGCGGCTTGCGCCGGCCGCCAGCACGGCATGCTACGTTGGAGACGGCGGCGCTTACGCGCGGCCTTACGCGGGCAGCTTACGCGCCAATGTCGGTGAAGACGAACCCGTTATCCTTCGCCGCTCACCCGGCCTGCTGCTCGGCATGCAGAGACGCCCGTCCAGGGAGAGCGCGCCTCGACGCCAGAAGGCCCCCCCCCCCCCCGAAGGGGGGAGACAGCAGTGCCGCCCTGGGCCTCTGGCATCGGAGGAGGCCCAGCTGGTCCAGGAGGAGGAGGAGGAGGAGGAGGAGGAGGAGTAGGAGGAGGAGGAGGAGGAGGAGAGGAGGAGGAGGAGGGGAGGAGGAGGAGGAGGAGGAGGAGGAGGAGGAGGAGGATGCGCGGGGCCATCGCCGGTCGCTCGCCGAGCGTCGCGCTGGTCGGCCGCCGAGTGCTGCGCGAGGCTGATCCGCGGGCGCGCCCTGGCACGGCCGCGCGTCGGCGCGGCCCGCGGTATACCCCGCGCGCGCTCCCGAGTGGCGCGCGGGGAGCGCGACGGGAGGCAGGGGGTGCCGGAGGCTTCCACGACGTCCAGCCGCTCGAGCGTCGCCCCCCCCCCCCCCCCACCCCAAAACCCAAACCCAAACCCCAAACCCTAAACCCTAAACCCAAACCCCAAACCCTAAACCCTAAACCCTAAACCCTAAACCCTAAACCCTAAACCCTAAACCCAAAACCCAAAACCCTAAACCCTAAACCCTAAACCCTAAACCCTAAACCGTCCAGGGGCGGAGAGGGGGCGGCACGGCACGCTCACCAGGGGCACGAGCCCAGACCTCCGAGATTGCAAACCTAAAGCTTGCTCGAGCACCTCGAGTGCGCTTCTGGAAGCGGTGCAAAGCATCAGGGGGGGCTAGAACGTCGACTTGCGGAGGAGTCGGGCGTTGCCAGAAGTGCCCCTTGCCCAAGAGGCCTCCACGGCACCCAGAGCACCCCCGCAAGAGGCCCAGAGCGCCCCAGGTGCTCCAAGATGGGGCGAAAAGCTGGGGGGCACCTTCGGAGGGGGAACAAGGATGAGTGAACACTGCGCGACCCCTGCGCAATCACCACGCCTTGCTGCCGGGTGCGAGGTCGAGGGGGTTCCCTCGGCAACTCGTCTGCCGCTAGCGCCCATTGCCGCCTGCTCATGAGGCAGCCGCCCTGGGCGGAGGAGGACGGTGAATTTCTGTTAGCACTCGCACAAAAGTCTCGCTCATCAGTCAGCGGGGGGGCAGGACTGAACCGCGCGACCGCGAGGCGGAGCAAAACGAAAGGTGAGCGGGAGGAGCAGGTAGATAAGGGGGAGGCAAGGGAAGAGGACGAGGAGGAGGAGGTAGAGGGAGGTATGAAATAAAGAAGAGACGGAGGCCGTGAAGAGGAGCAACAAGAGCAAATGGAGGATGATGGGTAGACTGAGGAAACTGAGCCGGATTGGGGGGGGGAGCACGAAGACGGAGGAGAAGGAACAGTTTGCAATGAAGGGCAAAGGTTCTGGGCCCTAGACCCTAAGGTTTTCCCTGGGCCAGCTGATCCTCCCAATCCGTTGTTTGATGGTCCCAGGGCCCAGGAGGGTCCCCGAAAGCCCCCAAATGGCGAGAAACTTCGGATCCCGTTTCCCTCGGGAACTATTTGCTTCATGACAGCAAGAGGAGCAGGATGAGCAGGACCAGAGGGTGGTGGATCAGGCGCTCTGCTGCGGCGTGCCCGGGAGGGGGCTGTCCTCCTCCCTGCCTCTCAGGGGGCCGAACTGAGGCTCCGCGCCTCGGTCGGGGAGGAGGGCTGGCGAAGTTGGACGCGGGGAGACACGAGCAGCCAGCATCGAATCGGTAAATCGGATCGGGTTGGAATTTGCATAGTAGAGGGAAAAGAACTATGCACATGCACCGATTCTGGCCAGGCCCATCCTGAGCCCAGGATCGGTGCATACGCCCTCCTACCTTGGCCAGGAAGGCATATGCACCGATCCTGGGTCAAAGATGGGCCTTGCCAGGATCGGTGCATGTGCATAGTTCTCTTCGCCCGACATAGGACCCAGCTGCAGCGGGCACGGGGCCGAACCCGAATCGGGTCACCAACGCGCACAGCAACGTTGGAACAGGGGGTCGCACTGGGTCGTCGGAACACTGGAATGTTGGCGGATCGAGACGGCTGACGTCGACATCGGATGGGAGCGCGATCCGATCGAAATGGACCCTGGGGGGGGGGGGGCAGGTGGAGTTGGATGGGGAGGCGCGGGAGGAGGCCTGCTCAGCCCACTGCCTTGACTCGAGAACCGAGACAGGCGCAGACGTGTTTCTCCGAGGTGCGCGCGGACTTCTGGGATCGGGGCCGGCCAGGGAGTGCGCGGCCAGGGGCCCCCGCGCCGATCCCAAAAGTCTGCGCCCTCGCAGGCCGCACGGGCGCGCGACGATCGGCGGTGGACAAACCTCCCTCTAATAAACCTCCCTTTAAGGAAAACGGCCTGGGGCCGAGACCGACGGGCCTGGACCCGCAAACATGACGGCCGCGACGCCCTCTCGCGAACCGAAAACGGCCAATTCCTCAATCGACGTGTCAGGGTAGGAGGTCTGTCCACCCCCGATGAGGAGGCCTCGTGCTGCCCTCCGGCCCTGCGCGGCGCCGCGCGGGCGGGCGACAAGCCGTCTCCGGGGTGCCCCGTCGAGAGCGCCCGTCGCAGGAGCAGCCGGGGGCGTCCGAGGGGGGGGTGCGTCCACGAGGGGGGTTCGCAAAGCATGGCCCGAGGCATCCGCGCGGAGGGCCCCAAAACGGCCCCCAGAGGGGCCCCAAAAGGGGACTGGGAATCGAAAACTCCAGCCTTCAGCCCCAAGAGGACCCCAGGAGGCCCCAAGAGGCCCCCAAGAGGCCCCAAGGGCCAGGAGGCGTATTGAGCCAGGAGGCGTATTGAGCCAAGGAGAAGAGGGGGCCATGAAATCAGAGGAGACTTCTCGGCACCGGCAGTCCCATCCCCCCTAGTCCTCACCCCCTTGGCCGCCCCCGACTCTGGGGTGCCCCTATCGAGGACGCTGGCAGAAGAAACACCTGCACCAGCATCGTCTTTCGGAGGTCCGCCAGATCCCTTCGCTTTGCGCTGATTAAGACATGGCCTCTCGGGGGTCTCGGTCAATGGGCTGAGTGGTTGCATCTCCAGCTGCTCGTGCTTCCGCTGCTGCCTGCGCTGCTTGCCCTCGACCCTCTCCCCAGCCTGCCAAGCCATGCACCCCGCCCACAGGACCCCCTGAACAGTAGATCCGAGCTGGACCCCCCTTCCTGGCGCGCAGAGGCGGCGCCAGAGGCGGCGCCAGGGAGGTCCAGCGCCGATCCAAGAAATCCGCGCACACTTCCGACAGTTGGTGTGTGTGTGTGTTTGTGTGTGTATTTGTGTGTCTGCGCGCGCAGTCTTCTTCTTCGGGCTAATTCCCTAGCCATGCTTGTTCCTCCGTGCGCACGCGTCGACTGTGCTTCGTCGTGCCGACGCAGTGCTGCATACGGCGGCCGCCGGGCAAAGCAGGAGGCGGGCCGGGGCCTGCTCAAGGAAAGGCAGCGGCCACAGAATGCGAAACGTTGCTTGAACTCGCCATCGCTCGGACGTCCATTTCCCATGCATTTGTCGGTTTCGTGCGTGTTTTTTTGCTCGATGGTCCAGGATGGTCCTGGATGGTCCTCGCCGAGAAAAAATGCACACGCCCGAGCGATGCCAGGTTGAAATTATATAGCATCCGAAAGCACGATATGCTGAGGATGCGCATGTATCATAGTAACTTGAGTCATGTCTCGACAGGCCCAGCAGGGGTTGGCCGCGCTGCAGAGATTTCCAGAAACTGCTTCTTAGGGCACAAGTCTCTCCTCCTCCTCCTTCTCCTCCTCCTCCTCCTCTCCCCTCCCTCTTCTCTCTCCCCTTGCGTGTCTGGTGCCTCCGACAATGCATGGCCGAAATGCGCGTACAGAAACAAGAGACCCAAACATCAGACGATGTGTTTTTCCAATGCGCGGCCCCGAAAAAAACGATACCTTCCCTTTGGACGCACGAAATGAATTCGGAGAAGATAGGTAGTTACAATGCCCAACAACACATGTTGCCCCAAACCAACAGCGACCGCTGTTGTGCAGGCGGCCTCCCGTATCAAAGGGACACAGGCCGCGGCGGCGCGGACAGCGAGCCCAGTTCGAAATGAACAGGAACTGCTGTTGGGCATTGTGCCCATTCTTTCCGTACCCATCTCGATCGTCACGATTTCCGGAGAATGTTCGTCGCCCTGGACACATGTTTGATTGCCCTCCCCGGAGGCCAAAATAATAACGCTAGGATTGAAAGATCATGTCGTTGAATGATGGGCCGATTTCCCACCACTGCCATGGGTAGGAGGACGAGGAGGAGGACCTCCCGATCCTCCCTTCTCCCCCGTCCTACAATCAGACTCGATTGGACAGGACACGCGAGAGGACACAAGACCCTGCCGAGGGCCACATTGCCACACACAGGACACAAGGGTCGAAATACTAATCTGGGCCGTAGTAGTGGTGGTGGAACATAAGCCCATCACTGTAGACTTGTCTTGCGTTGTCTTGCGTTGTTTTGCATTGTCTTACATTGTCTTGCATTGTCTTGCATTGTCTTGCGCTGTCTTGCACTCTCTTGCACTGTCTTGCACTGTCTTGCACTGTCTTGCACTGTCTTGCGCTGTCTTGCGCTGTCTTGCGCTGCCTTGCACTGTCTTGCACTGTCTGGCAGTGTCTTGCAGTGTCTTGCAGTGTCTTGCAATGTCTTGCAGTGTCTTGCAGTGTCTTGCATTGTCTTGCATTGTCTTGCATTGTCTTGCATTGTCTTGCATTGTCTTGCATTGTCTTGCACTGTCTTGCATTATATTGCATTGTCTTGCATTGTCTTGCATTGTCTTGCATTGTCTTGCATTGTCTCGCATTGTCTCGCATTGTCTTGTATTGTCTTGCATTGTCTTGTATTGTCTTGTATTGTCTTGCATTGTCTTGCATTGTTTTGCATTGTCTTGCAGTGTCTTGCAGTGTCTTGCAGTGTCTCGCATTGTCTTGCAGTGTCTTGCAGTGTCTTGCACTGTCTTGCAGTGTCTTGCAGTGTCTTGCAGTGTCTTGCAGTGTCTTGCAGTGTCTTGCAGTGTCTTGCAGTGTCTTGCAGTGTCTTGCAGTGTCTTGCAGTGTCTTGTTGTGTCTTGCATTGTCTTGCATTGTCTTGCATTGTCTTGCATTGTCTTGCATTGTCTTGCATTGTCTTGCACTGTCTTGCATTGTCTTGCATTGTCTTGCATTGTCTTGCATTGTCTTGCATTGTCTTGCATTGCCTTGCATTGTCTTGCATTGTCTCGCATTGGCTTGCATTGTCTGGCATTGTCTGGCATTGTCTTGCGTTGTCCTGCATTGTCTTGCATTGTCTTGCATTGTCTTCCATTGCATTGCATTGACTTGCATTGTCTTTCGTTGTCTTGCAATGTATTGCATTGTCTTGCATCGTCTTGCATTGTCTTGCATTGTCTTGCAGTGTCTTGCGTTGTCTTGCATTGTCTTGCATTGTCTTGCATTGTCTTGCATTGCCCCGCATTGTCTGGCATTGTCTGGCATTATCTCTCATTGTCTTGCGTTGTCTTGCGTTGCCTTGCATTGTCTTGCATTGTCTTGCATTGTCTTGCATTGTCTTGCATTGTCTTGCACTGTCTTGCATTGTCTTGCATTGCCTTGCATTGTCTTGCATTGTCTTGAATTGGCTTGCATTGTCTTGCAGTGTCTTGCAGTGTCTTGCAGTGTCTTGCAGTGTCTTGCAGTGTCTTGCAGTGTCTTGCAGTGTCTTGCAATGTCTTGCATTGTCTCGCATTGTCTCGCATTGTCTCGCGCTGTCTCGCACTGTCTCGCACTGTCTCGCGTTGTCTCGCATTGTCTCGCATTGTCTCGCATTGTCTCGCACTGTCTCGCACTGTCTCGCACTGTCTCGCGTTGTCTCGCATTGTCTCGCATTGTCTCGCATTGTCTCGCGTTGTCTCGCATTGTCTCGCATTGTCTCGCATTGTCTCGCATTGTCTCACATTGCCTCGCATTGTCTCGCATTGCCTCGCATTGCCTCGCATTGCCTCGCATTGTCTCGCACTGTCTCGCGTTGTCTCGCATTGTCTCGCATTGTCTCGCATTGTCTCGCATTGTCTCGCATTGTCTCGCATTGCCTCGCACTGTGTCGCATTGCCCCGCATTGTCCCGAATTGCCCCGCATTGTCCCGCATTGTCCCGCATTGTCCCGCATTGTCTCGCATTGTCTCGCCGCCTTGTCTCGCATTGTCTCGCATTGTCTCGCATTGTCTTGCATTGTCTTGCACTGTCTTGCATTGTCTTGCATTGTCTTGCATTGTCTTGCAGTGTGTTGCAGTGTCTTGCAGTGTCTTGCAGTGTCTTGCAGTGTCTTGCAGTGTCTTGCAGTGTCTTGCAATGTCTTGCATTGTCTCGCACTGTCTCGCATTGTCTCGCATTGTCTCGCATTGTCTCGCATTGTCTCGCATTGTCTCGCATTGTCTCGCATTGTCTCGCATTGTCTCGCATTGTCTCGCACTGTCTCGCACTGTTTCGCACTGTCTCGCACTGTCTCGCATTGTCGCATTGTCTCGCATTGTCTCGCATTGTCTCGCATTGTCTCGCATTGTCTCGCATTGTCTCGCATTGTCTCGCATTGTCTCGCATTGTCTCGCATTGTCTCGCATTGTCGCATTGTCTCGCATTGTCTCGCATTGTCTCGCATTGTCTCGCATTGT